GGGGGGGGGGGAGTGTAAGTCGAGAGTCGAATCGTTGGGAAACTTTGACGAGGCGTTCTAATTAATCTCAAATCAGTTTTCACCGGTTAAGAAAATTACATGAGGCGAGCGTGAGAAGTGCGCGAATGAACTCTCTGCTATTAATTAGCATAATGTAATAAGCATAAACTCTTTTTTTTTTCCTACGGCTTTACGTAACTCATAATTCATAACACAAAAATAATAAAAGTAAGGCTTTTCGATTAAAAATCAATAATATAGTAAGTAAAGATTTAGTAGGAGCCGAGCGCTAGTTACATATGCGCGAATAAAGTAAACGCTACATGTTGTTCAGTTATTTAATATAGTTGTTCAATACATTATTCAATATATTCAATATATTATTGATTAGATTTTTATACTTGTCTAACATAACATGTTGAATATCTGCATGTAGCGTTCATTACCGGTGCTATTGCCAATAATAATCGTGTTTTTATCGCGATTATATCGTGACATATATATCAACATGTATACATTTGTAGAGACATGTATTATATGATATAGATATATATTAGATTTATATAATTGTATCCTCTAATTGTGCCTAATACAACATATTAAATGCCTACATATAATGTACGTTATTTGCGCACCTCTAACCAGCGCACGGCTTTTATAGCCTTGCTCTATTTTATTATTGATTTTTAATTTAAGAGCCTCTTATTATTTTTGTTCAATTTTCGTTAATCGTCAATATTAAAAGTATTATGAGTTACACGAAGCCGTAGAAGAAGAAAAGAGTTTATATTCTACCGAAACTTTGTTTCACTTTTTGCGCTTAAAACGAGACTAGAGTATATGCTACCACGCGTTTGAGTGTTAATTAACTTTTTATAACAAGTTTGTGTCTTTAGACGAATAGTGTGGGAACTTTGAGAATATGGCACTCGGCCTAATGATTCACTTTTCATTTGTGTTAAGTGTGCACTGATATTCATCTTTAGTCATCTTACATCGATTTACTTTTATAGATAGTTTGTAGCAAGAAAATAATTTATCTTAAAGTTAATTATGTTAAATTACTTTAGACTATTTTAAATCAAGAGTTTCGTTGAAAAAATATGTATTTTATATTATAAAATTTGTATTTTTATATTTTAATATATTAATCATAAAATATGAAGATAAGATTGATAAGGAATATTAATGACAAAGTATATCGACAAAACAACCCCTTCCCTCCCTCCCTCTCCCTTTCTCTCTCTCTCTCTCTCTCTCTCTCTCTCTCTCTCTCTCTCTCTCTCTCTCTCTCTCTCNTGTTATTTTCTTATTAAAGCACATGCAAAATACATTTTTCATTCGTCGAAATTCTGATTTAAGAGCGGATCATACAGAATCTCGATGGTGTAATGTTGAACGGCGATTACGCGGGATCCCTTTTCCTCTCGTTTTGCTTAATATAAGCCGATCGATTCGTGCAAATTGCGACGATATGGCAGCGTATCATGGATTATTGGAGCGAAAGACGAAGGGTGGGATCGGGATAGGGCAGAATTCATCCGACGCCGAGATATCCGCCGCTCAATCGACGGTTTATATTAGAAACTCGACCTGCATGGCCTGTAAAAGCGCCTCTAGTCCGCGGGCTGCCGCTGCTGCTGCGTGCCGCGATTCCTCGGATTAGCGATATTTATGCTGGCTTCCTCATTCAAGCGCTCGCAAAACGACGGCTCTCTTACGGCTCCCGCGGCCACCTTAAGCGTATCCGATGTATATCCCGTCGGTTTGCAGAAAGAGAGACGAATTAACGACGCGGCGAGAAATGAGCTCCGGCTAACCTGCGCGAGCTTGCGAGGCGTAAATAAGCGCGCTGCAACGTCGCCGCACGCGATGCACGCGCGCGTGCATACGTACCTTTCTCTCCGTCGTCCGCGCAGCACGCTTAGCTGTTACAATTAATTACCCGCGCCTCTCAATCCCCGTCATCGAGTTACCGCATTCTCCATGAAAACGTGCCGGGATATCGCGCGTGAACGGTCGCGGTTTTTGCAGCAGCACGACGTCACGTTTTTACTTCTAACTGTTTGACACACTCTTGTTTTACGTTTCCCTCCTTTGTGTCTCTCTCTCTTTAAATGACGGGGGCCACGTTCACTCACCGACAATGTAGTGGCTCTATCATCCATCCCGACGTAGTCCGCCCCGTGAAGCCCAAGTTGTAAAATAGATTCTAGTACAGCGGGCTCGCTCTTACGCCTCTTTTTACAGATTTACATATTTATTATATATTTTATATATATATATATATATATATAAAACTGTATATATATATAGTAGATTTAGCGATCTTTATCGGGTTGACATTATGTGCGATTTTACTTTATAGTCGTATCATCCTTTTTGCCCTCTTATTTGTTGGCCGCGCGAGATGCGCTCGTTCGCCGTCGAGCGACCTCTCTAATTTGGCCATTGGCCCTTTGCAGATTGGTTCCCGAAGATGTGCTCTTGCATCGACGGCAGCTCCACGCTACCAGGCAATCGACCTTCCGGTCGAGTCGGAAGCTACGAACGGCTCGATCCCGATCCGAACGATAGGGTCGATACAATCTTCGAACTCAGCAGCACGATGCAAAGGACTCGAAGAAGAAACCGACATCGCGACCAGGACTTGCTTGACAGCGAAAGACAGGTATATGTCGTAACGCTTCGATGAACAATTGCGTCTCATATTTTTCGATTGGGTCTGCGCGCTATAAATATTATAAATTATATGTATATATATATATATATATAATAAATGTATAAAAAATGCATAGATAAATTTATTATAATTCTTGAGGATTTAATTAAAACTCAGGCGTCTAACCACGCCATTTACCGCGCGTACAAAGTAATTTTTTGCGTCACCTAAGAAAAAGCAATAAAATCAGGCATTATTATATACTTAAAGTACATGTTCCGGCGAATAATTTGGTAGTAAATACTTACGAGCAACAAATTTTTTAGAAGCGTTTCTAACGTTTGGAGTATCGGATTTGTGCGTTTGACTGAGCCGCTGACCGCGCGGACAAAATAATTTATTTCGACGTTAAGGAAAGAGCAACAAAAATCGGGCGTTGTTACATTTGTACGTGTCCTGACGAATCATTTAACAAATACTCGCGAGCAACAAATTTTGTTTTCTGGTACTTTTGGAACTTCATGCACGCTGAGAGTCTTTGCGTCTATTATTTCAATTTATTTTGCGAGCAACAAGTGCGGGACCAGCAGATTGTGTGAGCGACGAATTAGCAACAAATTCCTACATTAATGTTATGTTCGATTTCGTCGTTACACGTACATTGATCTGTTAACTTCATCTTCTTTTATCGGAACATCATTTAAACAGAAAAAATCTAACGAAGCCACAAATTTGTTTCATTGGCAGCTCATGAGCAACAATTGAGCAACAAATAAAAATACTAATTAGAATTGATTCTACTGAATTTATTCCGCTAAACTTACAAGACGTCAACGATATTTTAAGGATCGTCTCGTATTGTTATCGACGCTCGTTATCGACTTTGGCATCTTTCTAATTAGAGGGGAATAAAATGGAAAATAAAGAGGCTTAATCTGTCTCGCTAATGGCGTAGCTAAAACGCTCGGGATGGATGCTTGTTTTCAGGAAGAATTACGGTTCTACAACGGCGATCACACTTGGACCACTGTGGTCGTGGAGAAGAATCTGCGAACGATCGACTTGTGCGAGCTGCTTAAAGTCAAGAGGAACGCGATTGGCGCCGCCTGGTCGATAATCGAGACATGGCCGGAACTGGGAATCGGTATGTAATTATCGTAAATATCACGTCGTGACTCCAGAACGCGATATTCATTATCTCTCTTTCATCGCAAACTCTTTCTCTCTCTCTCTCTCTCTCGTTCTCCCTCGCGCGCCGTATTATACCTGTATATGTTCTCTCGGGGATCGGGAATGTAGATAAGAATCAATCAATAAGTTCTCAAGTACACACATTTCGCCGTCATGGTCACGCGAGTGGCAACGTGTCATCGACCGTGCTTTCAAAGTCCGCGAACTGTCCTATTTTGCGCGACTGTTCGCTAAAGTAGACAACAGATAATTCCACCTGGAGAAAGTATGTAGATTGTTAGAGCACCGTGAAACGTTGTTTCGGAAGTTTGTTGATCCGTACAATGTTTATTTATATCGTCGAAGTGTGCCGTACACATTCGAAACAACAATCGAACAAACAAACGGCAATGGGCGGGACTCCCGCGGAATTAAACTCGTCCGATTCAGTATGCGGGCTGTTATCGGATTTTCCATGAACGGAGAACGGAAAAAATAGGCTTGAGTGAGAAAACGCGGCGGATATTTTCGGAATAATGCGCCTGATAACTACTACTGTTGAAACTCGACAGACGCGATCTTACCAAGTGGCGACGTCTTTCCCGTCCTCCGCCGGGAGACAATTTATTTATAAAATGTCGGTGCACGCGCGTCCGTGAGAGAAAGAGAGAAAGAGAGAGAGAGAGAGGCGGATAACTCGATAAGTTCCTCGAAGCGTGTCACTCCGCCGGAAAAACAGCGCGGTGAGACTTTAATGCGCCCCGGAGCTTTAGTCGTCGAAATTTTCTCCGCGGCATTGACTCGGGACGAGATCGGAAATAACGTGTGGAGGAGGCGTAGGGACAGGGAGAGAGAGGGAGAGAGAGAGAGAGAGAGAGAGAGAGAGCAGGGCTCTATAATGCAACCGAGAATCAATAGCGGGCGAACCTCCAGGAGTTTGGTGCAGGTCAGAGACGACGACTCGCACGGCTGTCTTCGTGCCGAAATGTTTGTTTAAAGCTGCGGGACAAATGTTGCGCTATTTTAGTGCTTTATGTGCTTACCACGAAATGCCCTTCCAGATCAGCCACGCGACGAAACGGTCCGCAATACGCAGACGTAAATATAAAGATTATAAAGATATTCAGCCGACCAAATAGTACGTCCTTAAATTCGCATCCTCAAGCATACACCTTTGTTTTTGATACGCGAGAAATTTAGTCTTCTCGTCGAGATTGACGACATTACAAAATGGTAGATAATATTTCTAGAATTCTTCGTGGCGTATATGGGATAAATGTCGTAAATAAGTAATAGAGATGATTTCAATTTATCGAGAAATAATATTTTGCATTTAAATTTGCATACTTTCAAGATGTATCCGTAAAGTGATTTTTGAAACACGAGAAATTTGGTCTTCTTCTCGAGACTAATGACATTATAGAATGCTAGATAACACTTCTAAAATTCTTTGTGACGGGAAATATCACAAACAAACAACATAAAAATAATAATTTCGGTTTATTAAAAAAGAGAATGTTGTTGCATTTCCTTGAAAAATGAATATTTATTAGATAATTAGTATGATACATGGATATAATGATTGAGCAAAGAGCAAACTTTTCACTGCCTTAACCGTTGAATATTAATCGTGTTTTAAACAATATTAAATATATTTTAACGGTGATAATATTTACGACAATCGAGATAAATTATTTTCTTACAGAACGAACATTAGAAGACCACGAAGACATCCTCGCGGTTCATAGAGAACTGGAAATGTTCGCCTCGGGTCACGAGAGGCGGTTCTATTTCAGCGAGGACTTCCTCAAGTACGAGTTGTTCGTCAATCCTAAGGTAGGTTAGATAGTCGCCGATAAATTCATTTCTCTGGAATAATTCGAGTCTTACGAAGCTACAAGTAAAAATCCCGAGAAAGGGGATGAAATCTCTGTTTTTCCCGGTGAGCTTACCATCACGAACGGTACATTTCGACTAACCTGTGAGTGGTAACTTACCGACCGACCGAGTTTCTCGTCGGTTTGTGATACCTTGAAGAGGTACAGCAATGCCGTTTTACACGTGGAACGTAGTGGACGCACGAATACCCGGAGAGAGAGAGATTCTCGTTGGCAGGTTTCTCGTTTACCGACGATCCACGTGGCTTCGAGAAGCACGGGTGGATGTTCAGGTGGCGCGAGCTTCCTCGTGATCAGGAACGGCGATGAGGTTTCGGTAGTATTGATTGAATACGTCCGTGTGTTGAAATTTTACAGGATCGGCCGCTTCGTTTAAAGTCGATGCATCGTACTTGCACGATTGTATAAATAATATTAATGACATTTATCAACTTTGAATGAAATCTCGCACTTATCTCGTTACGTTAGTTCTTTCTGTAGGAAATCAGAATCGTATGAAATATAAAATATTCCGGTTTCCCCGGGAATGCATTTGGAACTAGTCGGTTGGATCGCTCCGGCACTAATGTACCCGAACCGATATCAATTTGCGATTTGAAATCATTCGGCTGTGGTTCCGTAAATCTCGTAACTTGACCTCGGCTTGCCAATGATTGGCCAATTAAAGGATAACGAGGGCGGAAACTTTGGAAACTCGGAACGTCTTTGTCGGCCGAATCCTTCGGGGAGATGAAATTCTGCGAGAGGCGTTTTCCTTTCTTTCCCCGAAAAGATGGAAGCTTCCTTTTACTTACTTCGTTCAAGGTCTTTCTTAAACGGGGTTTTAAGCGGCCTTTTTTTCCTTTCTATTACGTACAGCCCACGAGATCTCGTACAGATGTTCGCGAAATCCCTCTTTCGTTTCTCGAGGCACTTTCGTTTCTAGAAACCGACTATTTTATCGCAATTTTTTAAAAATCACACGTTTTCTAACGAATTATATAATATATCACACATATACATTTATAAAGATGTACATATGCTGTATATTTACGGTATATCTATATATTATATACTAGGTCTACCGGAAAGTTCTGTCCGTTTTTAAATTTGAAAAAAAATAATACATTTTCAATACATTTATTAATATTTACTGAACAATATAATTTCCATCGTTACTAATGACCTCTTCCCAGCGTGATGGTAATTTGTGGATTCCATTTCTGTAGAATGACTCATCTTTGGTGGACTTGAGATGACATTATCAGACAGAACTTCCCAGTAGACCTAATATTAGGTGTACAAATTAATTCGGTGTTTTTGTCATTCAACGTCCCGTGACTCGGGTTCAAATTAAAAAATTTTTTCCTGTCCTATATGGCGATTTGAAAGCGCCGACCTTCAACTTTAAGGAGCACTATAATAGTTGATAGCTTTACCGATATAACCTCAGAAAACAATAGTTGTCACGATGTTCGAGAAGAAGCATGTCTGAGACACCGTCATTTTTGCACTCCGATTGAGTAAAAATGCTGCTCAGTCTACCGAAATGATTTGTTCCGCTTTGGGTGGCTTATAAAACTTGTAAAAAGGCCTTCTACCGGCAACGCAACTAGGCAGGTGATTCTGCCGCGCGATAACGCGCGGTCACGCACGTGCGAAAGGGACGAAGGATCTCACCTGTACATCGGACTGGGAAATTCCCCCTCACGCGGCTTATTCGTCGGATCCAACCCCGTCGGATCACCACTTATTTCGGTCGCTTCAGCATCATCTGACAGATACGCATTTTGAAACAGTCGACAAGGTCCGAGAAAGCATTGATGGCTTTATCGAGTCAAAACCGCCAAGTTTTCTCCCCCGAGGAATTCATTCATCAGCTAGCCGATAGATGGGAGCAAAGTCATCGAAAATGATGGGAATGATTTCGGACGTTAAACTTGTACTTGACTTTTTCTAAAGTGAACTTTGAATTTCACGAGAATAGGCGCCGAATTCGTTCGTACCACCAAGTACTGATATGCAGAATCCCACTTTCTGATTTTTCAAGATAAATAAAAAACAGAAAAAAATACGACATATAGAGAGAGATTCGCTCAATTTTTTTTTTCCAGCAATTCTTTCCCGCCGACATGGTCGCATTTCCCAGCGGTGAGGACAGGGGCATCTTCAGCAACGTCGAGACCGCACTGAGGGTGAGTTCGCGTGATCATCGGCCGCGATCGTCGCGAATGGAAATGACGGCGGGCTAACGGGAAATCCGCGTCGCTGTCTCATTGCAGAATTACCTGTCACGAGAGGACGGCGAGTGCCCGCAGGTATTCAGCCTGGTGTGGATGCGACACGAGGGCTCCAACACCTGGAAGAAGACGTACATGTTGCTGCAAGGCCGGAAGCTCTACACGTCGAAAAAAGTGAGTAAATTCATTACGTTTTAGAATCGCGAACGTATCGCGAACACCTCGTCTCGCATTTGATTCATCGAGTGTGCGATTTTCGATTTGCGATATCGCAGGTGTGCGAATCAAGCGTTCGCGTGGTCGAATCGAATATCTTTAATGCGAATCAAATTGGAATTGGATTTTCCGGGATTTACATTACGTGCTATAATCTGAATATGATAAAACGCTTCCGGTGAGATGTTAAAAGCTCTTTTTTAAATGGCCGGGAAAATTAATTATCGCCTCGCAGCTTTGAGAAAATGTCCCACCGGGCACAAGGAAAATGTGCCGAATGTTGGAAAATTTTTCATAAATATCAGACGACAAAGTTTATAAACCGATAAATCTACACGTTTATATGTAATCGTATTTTATAAGCTGGCAAGTGTGTGTCTGTCTGTCTATGTGTGTGAGAGTGAGAAAAGTTACTTTACGGGGTCGGTATTTAATTTTAACTCACTCGTTTTTCGCTTACCGATAAAAACGAAGCGGTCGAAGGACGCGATCGATTCGGAAACGAAACGTCGCTGATTCCGAAATAGTCGGGCTGCTTGAATTCGAACGTTTCGAGCTCGAATCAAACGTGATTCGATTCACACATGTACGTGATACACACGTGCGCGCGCGTTGACGTCCCTTCACGACTTGTCCCTTCGCGACTTTACGAAATACGCTTGCGGACACTCGAGTTTCGCGCGTCCCAAAGACGGAAAAGAAAGCGGCGGAGGTTACCTTTCGCCGTTTCCACTCGTGGAAAGCGGAGGAAGACTCGGCGTTATCAGCCGTTTGATTCAAACGTCCGCGATTATTTGCCATCGCGCGGCTGCGAACAAACCGGGAATACAGGAAGACGTCGTCGTTACGTAAGAGAGCGGTGAGTTTTCAGTACTAGCGAGATGAACACACGGCACACGTGTATATCTGGCTCACGATGATTAATACGTTAACGCAAACGTGACGGTGAGTTTCTCTTCTTTCCTACTCGGGCTGCGCCCGATTATCTTCGTACGATCGCGCTAGAAAATGCAATCTCGCGAAAGAGATCGGCTTCTTACTGACTCATCCTCGGTGAAACGTTCTCTTAAAGTCCGGGTGAGCAATTCGCCTGTGCGATAACGGTCGCCAAGGCGCGCGCGTTCTCGCAGGTGCGAACACTTTCCTCAAGGACTCTGCCGGTGACACCCGTCACCGAGTGAGTCACGATATCGTCGGTAATTTATTTGTAAGTCATTAAGTAACATTAACATGTAACAGCTGGGATGTTCTCTTTCTCTCTCCCTCGGTGTACCCTTATCACGAGAGAGAGAGAGAGAGAGAGAGAGAGAAGAAAGAAAAAGGTATAGAAAACGCGGCATGACTGTTCTGCATTCGATTGAAAGAAATTCCGCCCGAACACGCGTCTCTCTTCACACTAATACGTCACGTTACACCACGTCTGTAAATGTACGTAAAGTTGGACGATTTAGAATCTCCGCGACGCCGCTTAGAAGAAAGCCTAGTTCGCAATGCGCGGCGACTTTCGGGACGACGTGCATCGAACAGCTGACACGGGGCCAGGGCGCCTCCTTTCCTCGGTGTCGCGCTTGATGTGCGGATGAAAGAGAGAGAAAGAGAGAGAGAGAGAATGAATGAATAAATGAACGATATTTATTTAGCTTTCTCAGCTATTTTGTTTTACATCAATTATAACCTAATTATAATTATAAGCTAATAAAACAATAGTTACAATATATTCTTTTAATTTTCACTCAAACTATTCTATCCTTTCGTACTGTTTTGTTTCTATCAGAAAGGCGTTGTGCATTTCCGCATCTTCATAAAACAGACTTTTCCGGGCGTCTGCAATCCTATGAGATCCCATCACAATATTCTCAGATCGTCTCCGTTTGTTTTCGTGTACATTTTCCTACTATCTGTATCTTATTACCCACGTGTTCATAGGCGACATACCTTTTATAATGAAAAAATAAAAATATATTATAAGAGAGAGAGAGAGAGAGAGATTGTCCCACGATACATCTCCTCCATTCTACGGTGATGTTAATTCGACCTAGCGATCGCCGCGATTCATTTGCATAATTAACACCGTGCGACACGCCGGTAACGCCTTCGCGTGGCGTACTCGATGGGCCGATACGACGGCGAGGTAGTCATTTTCGAGATAACTAGCGGCTAGTTAATTTATGGTGATTCTGAATTCAGCCGTTTTACACCCGTAAGCAACGTTGTACGCGCGCGCGCGTGTTCGGCCCCCGCGGCGGTTTGTTTTAAAATTAATTTTATTCGATTATTGATTCCGTGCGACGGGCGCGACGGATAGTTACCTGTAACGGCTACATATATATATATACATACATATATATAGTCGTTAAAACTGACGTCGCGCGAACGAACGAGCGAACGGGCGGCCGGCCGACCGAACGAACGAACGATCGTTTCGCGAATGCGCTTCCGAGTCGCGTGTCATTAATCGCGACGCATTAAAGCCGAATCGCGGTATCAGCCCGAACGATTGTCCCGAATATCACGGGACGCGCGCGCATGTATCCCACGGAGAGAGAAAAATCTATTTGTCACGCGCGCGCGCGCAAAATATCGAGTGAGTTACGGCGCGCGCGGGATCGCTTTATGGTCGGCGATACATCTAGTTAAATAACGATAGCGCGGCGAATAATTACGGACGTATTTCGCGTGTACGTGCGTGTGTGTGTGTGTGTGTGTGTGTGCGGCTCAAACGGCCACCGTTGAAATATTATCGCTGAATATTCTCCCCATTATCCGCGCGTATCAATGCCCCCCCCCTCTCCCCCCCGCGTGCTTCTATAATCGCTAATGCTCTATTTGCTGACACGCGCGCTATTAAGGCAAAAACACGCTCTTGCACGGTTCACGCAATGCCCGTATAATACTTTCGGCCGGTCCGTCATCCGTCTCCGACGCGGAGAGGAAATTGACGTGCACATTTGAATTATTTTCCTTCTTTCTTCCACCCCCCCCCCTTTTTTTTCCTCCATTTGTATTCTCACGATACAGACGGGTGAACTTTCGCCGTTCAGAAGTTCAGGAATTAATGGCCGGTGTTCTATGTGATCATCGTAATCATCACCGAGTTTCTTTCTTCTTTGTCCCACCCCCTCTCTCGCGCTTTCTTTTTCCCTTTCTCCGTCCCCCTCGCGCCCATTGAAAATCCTTTCACGGTGCAGCCTCGAGAGAACGTGTGACGCTTTTCCTTTTGTTCTCCGCGGCGCGTCGAGAACCGGCTTGAAACACACACAAGTTGATTGGCTTCGCGCCCGGCGTTGGCGCGTAAGAACATGATTTAATTATTTCAAGCTCCACCGCTTCCGGCGATACCCGGGTATATCGGCGGGTGTGTAATATCCCGTCGGCCGCGAAAGTGTCGTCGTCGTCGTTCCGTAAAAAGCTCGTCGGTCTGCCGCCGTCGTCGCTTCGCTTCGACACCTCCGAGAGAAGAGAGAACGAGAGAGAGGGAGAGAGAGAGAGAGAGAAAGAGAAAGAGGGAGCGATGTTATTGCTACAGGTGATGCGCCATCTCGCGGAGGGAGAGAGAGAGAGAGAGGGGGGGGGGGGAGA